TATATAAATGTCTCAAACCAAATAACCACTGATCTGGCAACCCCAGACTATGGTCACCATTGGCTGAGTAGGATTGGGCCAGGTGGTCATCTGAAGGTCAGGCTGTCACTTCTATGCCTGGCCACTACTGTCATCTGAGTTTGAGTCTTTAGGCATTGCTTGTGAGATGATGAGATGAGCAGGCAGTCATTCAGGATGCTGCTCTCAGGATGGTTTCACCTCCCCAGGGGAGGTGGGGGGTTGGCGGTGTCTGAAGACATGTTTTGATAGTCATAACTTGAGGAGGGTCGGGGTACCACTCAGTATCTGACAGAGTACACAGGACAGATGCCTACCACAAAGGACTTTCCAGACGTCTGTGGCCTAAAAGGTGAGAAACCCTAGGTCACCTCCAAGTGGCCTCAAAGACTATGGACACTGCTTCCAGTGTCAAGGGATCAAGACTGCACCCTGCAGATAGGAAGTAAGCTGGCAGTCATTTGAGGACCGCTCCGGGTTTCATGATGGACTAGCACAAACACCTCTCTTCTGTGAGAAGGTCGAATTGGTGTCAGGTGCACTTGGGTTTCAGTTCTGGTGGCCCCACTCCCTAGCCACATAGCCTGAGGTTTGTCATTGGCCCAAACCTCAGCTGCTTCAGCTGTACCTGGGGATAAAATGAAGTTGTACAGAGCCTGAGAGGATGGCCCAATGAATAACTTACGTACTGGTCGAGTTTGAGTTTCTAATACCCACATGGAAAGCAGGTGTGGCTGCATGTGCCTGCAACTCTAGCCCTGGGGAAGCAGAGACAGACATATCCATGCAGCTTACTGGCCAGCCAACCCAGACAAATCAGTCACGGTCAGTGAGAGACCCTGTCTCAGAAAGTACAGTAGAGAGCTGATGATATGCCATGGAGCAATGGTTCTCAACCTTCCTAATGTTGCGACCCTTTAATATGGTTGTTCATGTTGTGGTGACCCCCAACCATAACCATAAAGCTATTTCCATCTCGACTTCATAACTGTAATTTTGCTACTGTTATGAATCATAATGTAAATGTCTGTATTTTTCAATGGTCTGAAGTAACCCCTGTGTCGCTGACTTAGAGTATACAGTGCTTACAATGAAAGCCTGCCACCTCAGTTTGACCCTGGAACCCACATAAAGGTGGAAGGAGACAACTGATCCCATGAGGTTGCCCTCTGACCTCTGCATGCTCACTGTGGCATGCACACACCCACACAGAAAGTACTACAGAAATAATGAAATTTTTTCAAGTTGTTTTTGAAAAATGCAGACCTGGACATGGTGCATACCTTTAACCCTAGCGTTTGGGAGGCAGACGCAGGCAGATCTCCGCGTGTAGGAACACCCTCATCATGTTCACATACTCTCATGTCCACATGCACACATTCATACAAACATTCACAGGTACCCACACACACATACAAGTGTGTGTGAAAAAAAGAAATGAGGGCCCATAGGCACAGCTTCCTCTGTCCAATTCCTCCATTTCTTGTGCATCCCAGCCATTTTGAAAACCTGGCAGCTTCCTAAATACTTGCTGTCCTGGCTCCTCCTGAGGCAGACGCAGCTCCTGTGTGGAAGGCTCGTTCTCTGGGAGTGCAGATCACTCTCAGAACATGTTCGGACTTGGATTTGGGGAAATTCCTCCATCAGCAGCCTTGTGGTAGAGTGCTGGTGAGGCCAGAAAATGGTGGGGGATTCCCAGGAGCCTCTGTTTCACCCTAGCTGCTTCCCCCATCACTCCTCTGGCTTCTAGTTAGCCAGGAAAGGCCAGCAGGGGCTGGGGCATGGAAGGATAGGACTCTTCTGGTTCTCCTGGCTCAGTCCAGGAATCAGTTCCTCTCCAGCATGATGGAAGCGTAGAGATGGACACCCCTGAGCAAGCCACAAAGCCTCTGAGAACCTCAGCATCCTCGCCACCGGAAAACAGCCTTTCCAGGGCCTAGAGGCTGGTGTGGTACTCTCTCCAGAGTCCCAAGGGCTGGGCCTGACTCACTATCTTAAATTATTTTAAATTGCTTCTTATTTACTCTCTCTCTCTCTGTGTGTGTGTGTGTGTGTGTGTGTGTGTGTGTGTGTGCGCGCGCGCGCGCATATGCGTGTGCACGCCTGCATTCCTCTGCACACAGCTTTAATCCTAGCACTCAGTAGGGACAGGGAGTAGGATCTCCGAGTTTGAGGCCAGCCTGGTCTATAGAGCAAGTTCTGACATATCCAGGACTACACAGTGAAACCCTGTGACAAGATAAGTAATCTGTAAGTTAATACACTCAGAAGTCAAAATTAGATATCCTTGAATATGTTATACAGTGACTTCCCACTCTAGAGGTTCCTCTTCTAAGCTTCATAGTGGACATTTCTTTCATGAATGATAAGGTAATATAGAGTTATTTTGGAGAGCAGGTAGTGTAAAAGCCCTGGCTGTCCTGGAACTCAATTTGTAGACCAGGCTGCTCTCAGTCGTAGAGATCCGCCTGCCTCTGCCTCCAGAGTGCTGGGCTTAAAGGTGTGCACCACTATGCCCAGCTCTTCTTTCAACTTTTAAATTACTTTATTGAATGAAAATTAGGACATGACCTTTCCTATATATAGCTGAGGAAAAGGTTTATTTGCATATATGAGGGAAAGCACAGCCAGAAGCATCTGGAAGGGTCCAGACTAAACACGGTCGGCAGAATAGACTGGGCCATGGGGTTGGGGGAGAGGAAAAGAAAGGGGGAGCTACAGACTAAGAGGCCAAGAGCGAGCCAGGAGACCACGGGGGTTTTGCAGCCACAATGGTCGAGTTATATATGGATCTGAAGCTGACAGAAAGGAAGCCCAGCCCCTGGGCTGGAGAGGATGAGAGCAGGGACAAGGTGAGCAGTGCTGGGAAGCCACAGGTATTGAGTGATGCTGGGACAGCTGGGTCAGCATCTGATTTGATATGTTAATAGGCACCTCAGTTGGCCATTTGTCCTAGGTTTCCTTGAGACCTAATATTTATATATTATTAAAACAGAACAAAAATAATACAGGAAGGGAAAGGCTGGCTAGATGACTCAGCAGATAAAGATGCCCATTGGTAAGACTTAACCTTGATCCCTGGGATTCACATGGTAGAGGAGAGAGTAGACTCCCAAAAGCCATGTTCTCACCTCCACACATATGGCATGTACACCCCTTAAGAATAAATAAATGTAACTTTACAAAACTCAAATGAAAAAGAAAGGACAGTTTGGTTGTCCTCATTGCCTTTCTGAGCATTATTTCTAGCTTCAAAAAATATTTTCCTATTATGTGAGTAGCTGTATCTATTTATAGAAAACAGTGGGGGCTGGAGAGATGGCTCAGTGGTTAAGAGCATTGTCTGATCTTCCAAAGGTCTTGAGTTCAATTCCCAGCAACCACATGGTGGCTCACAACCATCTGTAATGACGTCTGGTGCCCTCTTCTGGCCTGCAAACATACACACAGACAAAATATTGTATACATAATAAATAAATAAATAATTAAAAAAAAAAGAAAACAGTGTGATATTTTGATAACTATATACGATCACATGGGGTAACCAGTATATCTGCCACCTCCTATGTTTATCACTTCCCAATCAGCTGTGATCATCACAAGCATGGGCTTTCATTTCAGTGTTCAGTATTACTGACTTCAGAATACTAAACTGTGCAAGAGGACATAGTGATAAATTAGTCCCTTCACAGGTGACATACACATACCAAGTTTTGTTTGTGTCTTTAAAGATACTTTACATTTAGTGTGTGTGGTGGGGTGCATATGTGCCACTGTGCACTTATGGAAGTCAGGGAATCATTTTTGGGAGTTAATTCTTTTCCTCTACCGTGTGGGTCTTGGGAATGGAGCCCTGGCCATCAGATTTGGTGGCCAGTGCCTTATCTGTTGAGCCATCTGGTCAGGCTGAAAGAGAAAGTTCTTGGGTATTGGATATGGAGGGCCTCTTGCATGCTAGGTAAGCGTTCTCCTATAGAGCTGCATCCCTAACTGAAAGGCAATTGTTTAATTTATTTATTTATTATGGCGTTTTGAGACAGGGCTCTTGTATCCCAGGTTGGTCTCCAACTCAACAGTGTAAGTAAGTCATCCTCCAGCCCCTCTCCTGAGTGCTAGGGTTACAGGTGTGAACCACCATAACTTGTTTTGAAAGAGAAATTTTTTAATCACTGAACTCGTATATGTATATTTATTTTCTTTTGAAAGGTTTCTCCTGATAAAACTCATGATAATCTCAGATAATTCATATAGTCTGAGTACAAGATGCTTGATAAGAAATGTTTCACCAAAGTTACCAGTGCTTATTCAGCCTTATCAGTGAGGCACGGAAAAGAGTGCCAACAAACCTGCACATCTCAAGATAAATAAATTGATAAAAAGGCCGGGGTGTGTGTGGGGTGGTGGTGGTGGCACATGCCTTTAATCCCAGCTTTTGGGAGACAGAGGCAGATGGATCTCTGAGAGTTCAAGATCAACTTGGTCTACAAAGCAAGTTCCAGGACAGCTAGGACTCAGAGAAATCCTGTCTTGGAAAAACAAAACAAAACACACACACACACACACACACACACACACACACAACCCTGTACATTAATTTGTGTTTAGGATCATGCTTAAAGTATCCTTCTGGAACTTTCTCTCCTATGAATAGTTGTGATTCCCCCATCCAGAAGGTTCACAATCTGTTTGCATTTCTACTTTTCATGTGGTACATTTTATTTCTGCTCCACAGCTATTGTTGCGCACGTCTTACTTTTTAGAAAACTGCACCGGTTTAAAACGTTGCTCTTTCTTGCAGAAGGAAATTCCTTATTTCCCTGCCTTCATTTACCGGTTCATGTTTGGCTTTAGGCTGTTACTCAAAGTACGCACGCGCAATCCTGGCACGGTGGTCCCACCCCTCCAGCCCCATCATTGGCTGGTTCCGGCCGGCGCGCTCTTGATTGGCTGCCGCTCGCCAAGCCCCCGCTGCCCTTCAGAGTTGGCGGGAAAGTGGCGGTGGCGCAGCATGGCGGCGGCGGTGGAGTCGCCGCCCTCGGGTGGCCCCGGGGCCGTACGGCTGCCGCGGTCGCCACCACTCAAG